TATATATTGCCAAGGATGTTATAGGTAAGCTTTATCATGAAATAATGGTTAGACACTAAAATATAGTAACCTTTCTTTTCTCTTAACTTCACTCCAGCTTCAGACAGCCTGAAGAGTTCTGAATGCTCTTGCTACTATAGGTGACTTTTAATGTAATTATTGTTTTGAAAATTATATATATTGTTATATCAATTCTTTATTTGTTGCAGTAAATAATACATATCACTAAAATATTTTCCTAGATATTGATCAGTTTCTGAAAATACTGTTATCTGTTGACTCAATTAAAAGTTTAAAATGTTATACTTTCCAGGAAGAGTATGATGGATTGTCTGCTGATATTGTTAATTCCAAACCTAACACAGTCTCTCAAGATGTGGAATTGAAGGCTGAAGATTTTATCGTTGATGTAAGTAAGGTGTTTTGGTTTTTTTGGTTATGTTTTGGGGTTTTTTTACAAAATATCTTACTTTGCTTTCTTAGTGTGCATGTCTATAAATTGTTAAGTGTACTTTATTTTGGTTTTGCCACTCTGAAGGTTATTGATATGGATTACGGAATGAAAAAATATAACCCCATCAATTATGTTCGTTTCTACTGCAAGTCTGACATCACTCAGGCAGTTAAAATTACCAAAGAACAAGTAAGTAAAAATGGGAGTGGTGGCTTTTGCCAGTTTGTTGTGTTGGTTTTAAGAAAATGGTCAATATATGAATCCTTACAATATTCAGTCAGTTTTAAAGGGGGAATCCTCTGCACCAGGCTCTCTCCTGCTTGCACTGGATGCTGGTGATACTGCATTCATAATGGCTCTGAATGGACTGTTGGCTGCTTGGGAAAGATCAGGAAAGTCGTTAAGTGTTTTAATTATTTCTGTCTTTTAAGGTTTCAAAGCTGCTCCCAGAAAAATTTGCAGAACAGATTATCAGGGTTTATTGTAAGAAAAAGGATGCAAAGATAATTGCTGCTGCTACACAATATTTTGTTCAGTGGTGTATGATTAAGAATTTCACTAAGCCACGGGTAAGACATTCATACATGAATGGGGGTAAACTCATAATGTGCCATCCTTAGGAAACTTTTGGAAATTGTAATTATTTACACTTTTTAATGGGCTACAGTAATAAGCATGGGTAAGACACAAAGTCTACTCATTTGCTATATGAATGAACTAACTGAAATGTTAATTACATAAAACTGGTATTTACATTAACAACAAAAGAAGGATCATTGTGGATTTTAAAAAAATCATGATTTATCCCATGCAGAGGGGTAAGACAGACCTGATAATGTTTTCTTCCTTAAATGTAAACATAAATACCTTATTTCAATTGTCAAGAGAGAAAATGACACAATGTATTAACAGTTGATCTCAAATGCAAATCTTAATCTCTTCATTTTGATTATTTGATAGGATAGTGATATCGTTGCTCCAGGAATTACTCCAATGAAAAAAGAGTGGAATAAAGATGATGAAAATCATGATTCAAACAAAGAGAGTGGAGCTTTAAAGTGTAAAACAAAACTTTTTAAATATTGAGTTACCATATTGCTTCAATTCTGTGTGTTTGTATATCTCTCTCCGTGTGTATGTATTCTAGCCAAGTTTTCTTCAAAAAGGAATATTCTGTAAAATTACAGAGTAAGCCTGTATAATGCCTTTGAAAAGCTACAGTGGAATTTACCAATTTTCCTATATTGTTAATTTAAGTCTATGTTATAAAAGTCATTGTTCTGTAAAGCAAACTTATAAAAGTGCCTCAGTGTTTAATAATCAAGAAACTGAAAGATAGATGTCAATTTTAAAACATAAATCCATTTTCTAAAATATTCAGAATATTTCACTGAATCCAACAGTGACTTTATACTAGCATAAATTGTCTATACTTTCACAAGGAAGGGTAACAATTTTCATCAGTCCTTCTTTTCTCCTGTACTGTTCGAAATGCCCCACTGCCCAGGCCCTTGTTTTGTCAGAAATGCTTTCTCAAGGGATGGGGAGACAGGTATAGTAAGCAGGCCTGGCTGACAAAAATTGGATACCTTAATATTCACAAGCATATTCTTTCCACTAGTGCAAACCATCAACTGTGAACTGAACCAGTGGATAAAATCCATAGTTTCCCTATCTGAGTAAATATATAAAATAAACTTAAGAGGGAGGAAAGATCTTGGCTACTTGCTTGCAATTCATATATTTTTCTGTAAAAGTGATTGTTCCATGATTCTTTAGCTCTTTTAGATCATGACATAATGTATATTGATTTAGAGCTAAACATGTATTGACACAATTATAGTGTTTTAAAGTTTATTATATAAATGTTGATCATCTTTTTAATAAAAGAAACAACAACAAAACAAATATTGAACTCATGCTTGCTAGTAAACACAAGAGAAATTATTCTAAACCACAGACAGACAAAAAGGAAATGTAGTGGGAAAGTTTTGCCAGCTTCTTTGAAACCAACTTGAATGTATTTTTAATGTCTTGTGTCACAGATAATATGGATGTATTTGTTTATTGTTTATGGATGTATATGTTGCTTTTCATTATTTTTGGAAACCAATGTCTACAATATCTGCTTTATACATTAACATTATAAAATGTTTCTGTTAATTGCAAGAACTAATATTTAATTCTGAAGTATAATTTTTATTTTAGGCCCATTCAGAGAACCTGACTAAGCTTCAGAAGAATTCTATATTTTTAATTAAAAAATATTCTGTATTGGATACAGATTTGCCCTTCCATGAACCAAGGGTTCCTGTGGTATGGAAGAGAGATACATATTCCCACTGGAGAAAACAAAGGTGATTTTCATGCATTTCTTCTACAGCTGCTGCACTATCTTCCACCCTACTAATTTGAAGGGGGTTGCAAGGAACTGGTGGAAGTCCTCGCTATTGTCACAGTGAGAGTAGAACTTTGCTAACAAAATACTCAGTCCAACCTAACTTTATATTTTACAGCTTCAATTTGAATTTGAACCTGTCGCCATTTCATTCAGTAATAGCATGCTGCTTTATGCCTTAATCTGTTTGGAACTTAACTAATCTTTCCTCAATTTTCATAAAAAATATTCAAGCTTAAGCAAAGCTAGAACTTTGCAATTAGAATATAATATGTGCAAAAATTATCATTTCCCCCCAAAGTGGATTTAGCATGTGGATGTGTTGCTTTTATTCGTTCATTTAACTGTTTTTGCTGTTAGGATAGCCTGAGGGTTTTTGCAAGGAATTTTCAAGCATTGCTTCCATTTGTAAATCAGGCTATCCTTTCTCCAGAGGAAAATGGTTAGTGAATTTTTATGATAATTCTGCATTATCTTGCTGCTTTTGTCAAAAGAAAGCTATCACCCTGCAAGTTCCATCCCTTTTATACATGGGCAGGGTTACCAAACAGCCAGCAAAAGGAGGAGGATATGTCCTCCTTTTTGTCATGTCCTCCATCCTTAAAATCAAATTTTGTCCTCCTTTTTGCATATCTAACTGAGCAGCCTTCCTCCACAAGTGCAGCACTTCCCCAATAAGTGCTAACAGCAAGTTGACAAGCTCAGCTCTGTGACCTTAATTAGTTGATTAGTACCCTCTCACTTGCACTGCTGACTGACATTGATAAGACTTTTATCAGTTACAAAGCCTCCTAACTAGCTCCCAGCCACAAACATTCTAGTCAAACAGCTGGCGCTAGCACATTCCTCTCCATGTATGTTCCCCATTGTGTGCCTGTTTACTTGTAATCCTTTCCTCTCCGATGAATGTAAATACAAATATTAAACAGTGTGTCCTCCTTTCACCCCGATTTGTCCTCCTTTCCAATTGTCCATGTCCTCCTTTGCTTGTTCAGATAGCCCCATGGACTCAGCAGGCTAGAGAATATACATCATATGCCTAAAAATGAATTTTCCTTTCTTCCAGACACATCATACTGCTGAGATACTTTTTTCATTAACCCAAATATGCCCTTTATCTCTGCATTTGGTTTTTACCTTTTAGTGACAAAATTCACATGAGTCTGTTAGATTTCCTTTTATTTTTCAGCCTGTTTGAACCTCTCAATGACATTCTGAATTTAGTTTCCGTCTACCAGAGTACTAACTATTTCACTCAATTTTAGTCTGAGAAGACGGTTCTTGACTTGGTTTGCCATTAGGATGACCTGAGCCTCTGCTGTATGCTGGGCCCTTTCCATATTCCAGATTTCACATTATTTTCTATCAAGCTAAATATATTTCTAGCTTTTTGATAATGTTCAATTTAGAAGATCAGGAAATAGGAGACAGTTATTAGTCAGGAGCACATCTACACTGCACAATTTAATCTGCTTTAAAACAACTATTTATGAATTTCACTAGATAATTTGGTAACAATTGAATTGGGAAAATGAATAGAAATTAATGTTTTGAAAAATACTGAAAGGACTGGGAGCAAATATTGTTTCCTGAAATTTTGTTTTTTCCCCCTTCGGGCCACTGCAACTCTAAAAGAGTGGCTCAACCAGGGCAGATAACAGCACTGTTCAAAAGAGGAGTTTCACAAACAAAAGGTAGGAAGTTCATCCAATGGCAAAGCAGTGGACTGCCTTGAAAACCTTTTTCTTAAAATTAATTTATTGTAAAAGGCTCTTTCAGTATGCTTATGCTGGGGTGGCACGTTGGCCAACTTCTTTTTTTCTTTTATAAATGCTATAGAGTGTTGAAATATTTATAAAATGACGCCAGGAATGCAACAGCTGAAAGTTGTTCAAACTACTGTACATTACAGAGCACATTAAAGTATATGGCAGATTTCTGGAAACAAAATATTGCAAATACAGTGCTAATAAAATGCAGTTTTCCATAATAGAAAGGAGAAGGCAAGTCTGACGTAAAGCCTGAGTGAACAACTGGATTGTACTAAAGAAGAACTATTGTTTAGGAAGCTGCTTTTGCAGGCAAGAAGAAGAAAAAACTTGGTGTTTTTGTAAAAGATGTAAAAAAAACAATAGCTTCCTGTGAGAAGCCAGCAGTAAAGCACTTCCATAGGTACAAAGCCATGAAAACTGAATTGGGCCTCTCTATGTTACATTGCCAGAGTTAAGTTCAACTCAAAAGGTGACTTACTGCTGAAAAACTGACTCTAGTGTTCCATTGTAAAAAAAGGGGTGTGTGTGTGTGTGTGTGCGCGCGCGCTTTATTAAAAAGGATGTTGAAGGTCGTCTAAAGTATGGAGTGAGTGTAGGTCTAACATGTTCAGAGAAATGTGTCTCTAGAAGTTATTTAGGCATGTAAGCAAAAAGCAATAGAAAATGTGTTGTGATATAACTACTCAGCTTTTCCTAAGTATCATGGTTAAGTCATAAAAATTCCTTTGGAAGTCTTTCCAAAGGTTTCAGATTTCAAAGCATAAAGTAGAAGTATAGAATCCTAGGGCTTGAAGGGACCTTGGAGGTCTTATAGTCCAACCTGCTGGACCATCCCAGACAAATGGCTGTCCAACCTTTGCTTGAAATCCTCCAGGGATGAAGCACCCATGACCTCAGGAGGCAGCTTGTTCTACTGCTTAATAATTTTCACTGTCAGGAAATTCCTCCTTATTTACTTGCTTATTTACTCGATATTTAAAAAGCAAGTAAAAATGTCTTAGGTGTAACCTAACAGCAATATGTTTGCTTCTGTTTTGACAGTAGTTTGACCCATAGATGAGCAGGTATCTGCTAAAGCAAAACAACAAAAAATCTGTTTATGTTACTTCCCTAGCAAGCAATGGTGGCAAATATGTTTATTGCTTACCAATTCCTAACAGGATTGCTACCCAGGCATCATTTTCTGTCTACACTGCAGATGTCTACCACTGACCTGGATACATCCAAAGGATAAACCAGTTTTAGGTGCAGCTAATTTGAGAAGAAGCTGTTAAATGAGGGATAGAAATATGAGAAAATTCTTCAGCATTGCTTTCTTTCTTGCCGATCTATAGAGACATAGGGAATCCGCAACAGGTTTATCCTCATATGAGAGGGATTTGAGAAACTACTGTAGGACTATTGGCCAAATCCTGTTCCCCAGGTGCTTGGAAAGTTTGTGTGAAGAGACACCTGATTTTTTTCTCCCAGAATTCCAATTAAGAGAGTGTCCAAACTTCCAAGTCTTGGATGAGGAATTCCTCTTTTGGTGATAATGCCTCATTATTGAAGGTTTCACAGGGGTGACTTCCTCCATGGTTCAGGTCTCCATCTAGCCAGAGTCCAAATTTACCACTGCATACAAGGCAAAAGATAGCACATAGGATAACTTTTCCATAGCATAAAACCTAATCAAGGTTATAGTGACATTGACTCATTTGCTTGATTAACAGGAGAAATTTAGTGTATAGGTTGTGCATTTGTTCTCCAACTCAGGCTGCTGGATGATGCTACCTTGTGGTGGAGACTGTATTAAGTAGCTTTTGCTTTCTACTCCAAAATCTCCCTCTGCCAGATTGTGACATACCTATCATTTTAATACTACTTTTAAGAAAATCAAATGCAGAATCCTTTCATACTCCTGGGAACCCTTGACACTTTGGAGATATTCTCAGCCGCATCTCTTGGCATTCTTCCAACCCTTGCTAGTGCATGATAACTGAAAAGGACCAGTGTGAAAGAGAAGATGTCCTAGCAGGGAACTTGGACAAGTAATATTATTCACAGCTGGGCAGTTATTTCAATGTCCAATCAAATGACATGCATGAAAATACAATAGCTGGCATTATGTCATTGAAACAAGAGTGCGAAGAGAGGAATAAGAGACAGAATGACATATTTGGCATGATGTAATAGGATAAAGGAGGAGGGGGTGGTAGTAATGACTCACATCAAGTAAGAAAAAGATAGCCATGATCCATGTTTTCAGGGCAATTTCACTGTTCTGGATCAACTCTTGTTTTTAAAGAAGCTTACCTGTCTAGCAGCAGCAATGACAATAATGTCATTTATGATCTATGAATATCACAAATATGATAAAAGAACATGCACTGTTGCTGCTAATGGTAGATTTGGTGAGGAAAAACACTGGGGAAACACTTTTCCAATTCATGATCTTCCTTAGCCATGCAGAAAAGCTAATGAAATTCTCCACAAGGATTGCACAAGGATTGCAGCAGGCATACGGTACTGACAAATTAATTTCCTTATGACCCAGCCATCTTTCAAAGCTACATACCTGCCTCCACCAATGGCTAAAGAGTCTGCATCTCCTTTCATGAAGAAGGTATTTTTGCCTGTCCATTTAAATACCTGACAAAGAAGGAGTCAAAAGTATAACATTAAGCAGTTTGAGAATAAAACTGTACAAGTTGCTTCCTGTACAACAACAACAGCCATATTGTTTCCAGTGATTGCTTGAACCTTTTCTTATTGTGATTTAATAGATCATATCTAATTGTATTTTCAGCAAGTACCCTCTTGTTCATGACTATGGGTGTGGACAATGCATAGAAGGATAAAATTTAGAGGTTGAAGAGATAACAACATAGAGGTAGAGGTAACATGCTGGCTGGGGAATTTTGAGAGTTGAAGTCTACACGCCTTAAAGTTTCTGAGGTTGGGAAACACTGATTTAGGGTCCCTGGTGCAATTCACTGCTCAGTGCATGACTCCATATTAAACCCTCCCAACAGATGACTGTCTAGCTTTCATCTGGAGATATCCAAGGAGGAAGAACCCACCATCTCTTTGGGAAAATGGTTCCTCTGTCAAATTCCTTTTACCACTGGAGAACTTTTTCTAACATTTCACTGAAATTTGTTTTTCTCTAACTTAAATTTTGTTATTCCACATTGTCCATTCATCTTGACCTTCTGGGTGACATCTTTTCAGGTTGTTGAAGTGCTGTTATACCCTCCTTTAATATTCTTTTCCCAAGGCTAAATATTCCCACTTCTTCCAGTCTCTCGTCACAGGAGGTAGTTTCTCATCCTTGTTGCTCTTCTCTAAATCTGTTTCAGTGCGTCTGATTCCTTCTTAAGGTGTGGTGCCAGAAACAGACACAATACCCAAGGTAGGGCTTGAACCACACAGAATAAAATGGAACTATTATTCTTTCTGGGATTTGGAAATAATACTTATATTGATGCAGTCTAAAATTGCATTTGTCTTTTTTCCACTATATTAAGCTACTGACTCATATTTAGTCTGCACTATTATTCCAATTATTTTTCCAATATCCTTTCACAACTACTGTTACAGGTATACTCCTTCCCATGCATTTCCATATGCTTTCTGTTTTATCAGTGAAGAAATTCACATGTTTCTGTTAAATTTCATTCTTTTTTTCCCCAGCCCATTCTGTAATCTATCAAAAACATTTTCAGTGTTGGCATTAAAGTCCTTGCCAAGTTACTTTCTGGAAACCATCAATATCACAGAATCTTTTAAAGGGTGCCCTTTGTAACCATAGCAATTTATTGACTGGCAAAATTTGAGTAAATGTATTAGTTCCTGAAGTTGTAAATACAAAAGTAACTCACTCAACATGGAGATTAACATGGGGTTTCAATCACCTTGAGTTGTGGACTGAAGGAGAACAGAAATGTTTCTCCATTGCCATAAAAACAACTGCTCACATGAATAGCTGTAGAAGAAAAAGCCCCAAATATCTGAAAAAGAGGCAGAGGAGAATATGTTTCAAGTTACAGGAGGTTAACCATATCTATCTTTCTGCACATTACTCATCATGGTAAGCCATGGTCTGCTTAGCCTAATTTATTGAATAATTCAACCAAAATTGACTATATTTATTAAACATGCTAAAAGCCAAATAAATTCAGTCAATGAATTATTGAATTCTGTTGCTAAGTCTTCTTTCCATTTTAAATCCAGTATCCTTTCTATTATTAAAATTCTATAGCACACACTGTTGGCTACCAACTGGCCTAGGAATTCAATCAGAGACTTACATAGTAATAGGATAAGGACAGTTTGTTTCGCACAAATATGAACAGATTTTCATGCGAACTCTTATATTTTTAAACTAGAACCCAGCTTCCCATCAATCTGTTAAAATAGTAGCTCAGGGGGCAGATTATGTCTTGGGTGGTGAAGCCAGGTACCTATTATAAATTTTTATCCATCAAGATGATCTACATTACTTTCAACCCACACATAATGAGCTGATTATATCCAGTATTAAAGTGGATCTTCCCCTTTCTGTTGCATCTCCCCCATTCCCTATTTCAAAGCCTTTCTAATGGATTAGGAGGATGTACTGAATATTGTTGGCTGCTTCTTAATGCTGTGAATGGAGAAGAATAATTGCCTATTTATTTAAAGCTGAGTTAGACCCAGTTAATTAGCATTCTTCTTTCTCATATCTTTATTCTTACATATGTAACCATTGTGATATAGGCCTATCTGGGGTTACCTGCCCATCAGTATCTCTGATAACCAATAACACAGGAGAGGCCAAGTTGTTCATGCTTCTATACATGGTCTTCAGACTAAATCCATCCCTTGCTGTACAGTAGATGAGGTTCCAGGGATAGCCAGTCACTCGCAGAGGGAGATGTGGAGTTAGCTAAGAGGGACCATATAAACAAGTTCAATTTTTCTCGACTTGCCCTGTAACAAGCTATCTTTTCCTTTGATTAAGCTTTCTCAGCTTGTTCGTCTTTGGCTATGCCAGTTATGAACACATAACTGAAAACATGTGGAGGGTACCAGGTTGGGGAAAGCTGACTTAGAAGCCTCTAACAGAAGCCTATCACATTCTGCCTAGATGTTTCGGTCCCATACTGTATATACCCCCAGTCATTAGCCCTGTTCATTCCCTCAACCAGCTTCTGGATGGTCGCTAAGCAGAGGTGACTATTAAATCTTTGGCTAAAACTACTTCAGTCCTGCCAGAAACTTGCCTATCTAGTTATTAGAGAACAAAATGGTTGGATTGGCACATCATGGTAAGTCATTTTTTAACAGAAGTTTATTGAATAAATCCCAATTGAATGGGTACACCCTAAGCCATCCATACCCTAAGTCATAAATAATGGTTTACAAACTACAATGGCTGGAGTCATACAATGGGCTGCAGACAAGCTACATTATAGCTTAGCATGATGTTTGAACCCAGTTAAACTGTCAGTACCACTTGCATCAGCTAAATGCATTTCCTGGAGGAAATGGGCTTTCTTCTATGTGATTCCCAGGGACAATGGCAAAGAGTCATTAGAGCTAAGCTGTAATATCCAGCTATTCCTATGAAAAAGTGTAAAACCCCAAAGTATAGAGAGAAAATGTACTCACCTGTTGGATTTCTTCTGTGTGCAAGATGCTGCTTTGAGCATTCAGTACAGGCTCATTCAATTCTTCCGCAACTAGGGATGGAGCATCTGCATTTGTCCTTACTGAGTCTAGTCCATCAGCTTCCTGTTCAGGCTCTAGAGACAAGGTTTCATCGCCCAGGTCGGGCTAGCAAAAAATACACATCATTAAATAAGGTGAGAATTCACTTTTCCTATTTGGCCTATAGAATATCTCCCATTAAGGATAATCCAGCCTATCAGTACAAAAACAATTTTAATAAGGCAATGACATGTACATAAAGTTACTGAAATGAGTAATTTGTCCAGAACAAGCAATTTCAAAAAGTGTTGGGAACCTCAATTCAATGAGCTGTCCTTTGTTTCATTAAGTCTTTATTAGTCTCATAAGAGGGAAGGAGGGATTGATTATGATTCATGTAACATCACATTAATAAATCTTTCATATGGATCTATTTCTGTAGCCAGAATGTTTTCAAAGCCAGCGTAAAATTCGCATTGCATTGTGAATTCTTGAGGATTGAAAGGATTTGCAGTAATAGCTATTGAATATTCATTTCCCCCCATCTATTCAGTATTGCAGTAAGATTTCTGAACAGGATGACTAAGACCTTTTCCTAACCTTAGAAACATGCAGTTCATCTGAGAGTCATTTCAAATGTTATAAAGGTTTGTGTGTAAATGATGTATGTGCAAGAACTGTACCTTGGCTGAAAAGCTTGGGTCAACCACTTAGGCCCAAAGCTGTTGGGCTCCAGCCTTTGTTTTGTAAGCCAGAACCCAGTCACACGCTAGCAAAAGATGTCATGATCTCACTCCAGTATGTGTATGGGGTTTTGCACAGCCTGAAGGCAGCTTGGACCTACTCACCAGATTTAATTTATTTTCCCCATCTCATGTGGTTAATCCCCACTGGCAGGGTAGGCTAGGACTTTAGTACTTGACATTGGAAGACAATTAATCATAACACTCCTTCTATGGACTGTTAATATCTAACTCTGTTAGCAATCCTTCTGAAATTCTAATCTCATTTTCCTGCTAAATGTTCCACAGGCCAATTAGTCTCTATACTGTATGTGTCAAAGGTATCATCATATAGTTAGTCATGCATTGGCATTGGACACAGTTCTTTCTACGTGGAACAAAAATCCCAGTTACTCTTTTCCTTTGTTTAATGAGTACAGTAACAACTACTTCCTGAATGTATTATTTAAGCGTTCTATGATATAGCAAGACTGAATCAATACTTGATATAAAATATAGTTTATCCTATGGGAAATAATGATACATAAAGGAAATTTGCATAAACTCTGTTATGTGATCCCATATACTACTTCCTCCAATTTTCTGGGTCTCTCTAACAACACTCCACTCCACCCCACCCCACCCCACCCCCCCACACACCCATCAGCTTTCTGTAGATAACAAGCATGCTCATTCCTCACTGAGCTGTTTTAGTCATCCCCCAGCTGCTTATTATTTCTCTCTTATTCATGTCATTTTTTACTATCAGTGACATATTCTGAACATCAGCAGTAGAGGACTGATATTCTGTAGTTAAAACAGTGGGAAGCGGAGGGAATCAAAATGCTGAACTCTGCACAAAGAAAAGCTGATATTTGTGCTGTTTATTTTGCTTCCCCCCCCCGCCCCCCAAATTTGGGGAAGAAGAAGTCTCCATCCAGTTCTAGCCTCAACACAATGTGATTTCATCAGGAATTGCCCATAACTTTAAAAAATTTTCATAATTTATGCACAGTGCTAAATTCTGCACAGGTATGTTAGATTTCAATTGCCATAATCCCCCAAACAGTATAGTAGCTGGGGGTGTATTTTGAAGCCAAAATCCAAGACACCTGGAGGCAAAGCTCTTAATTACAGCTTATTGATTTAACATATAGCAGCTTCTTATGCCCAGAATCATAACTGAATACATAACACAGAAATCATTTGTCCAACAGGTAATTCTTCACATTCAGCTACTGTTTACTAAGCCTTAAGTCCTAGCCTTAGCTGATTCTGCAATGCTTTTCAGCCAAAAAACCCCAAAACAAAACTGCTTGACCTTGAAGAAGACTCTTGGGCTTTCCCCCTTTTCTCCCATTAGGAATTATATGGCATAGTCATCTTTATGCAGGGTGACAATATATCCGGTGTGGGAAAAAAGCAAATAACGGGAGGGCAGTTACTGCCATTGGGCCGAGTAGAAGTTTCACTCCCTGCTCTTCCCTTTTCCATTTCTACCCTAAAAGCACACACAAAAGTACATACCAGAAGAATGTAACGGCAGCGTGGAGTTTTCATTCTTTCTGTGATTGTCCAAACCAGGGCCCTGGACTGGAGTGCTTCTTCCAGGCAGGGAGGCAGGGCGTGCGTGGAGAGCAGGTGTCTGCCAGTAACCTGTGGAGAACACTCCACTGTAAACACTTGTGTACTTTATCCCTTTTCTCAAGGAGCTAATCTTACTGCTTTGCAGCTGCTGTCACCTAAAATAGTACTACAAAACAAATCTCGTCAGAACCTTGTCAGTTTTTTATTTCCAATCTACAGCTTTACAAGAGTGTGGAAGAAGAACAGTTGGACAGAACTGCCAGTATAGGTGGGAGGAACTACAAAAGCTCTACTGGTCAAAACTGTTTCCAAACTGATTTTTCAAAGGAGAAAAGAGCAGGGAATCTTGCAGAAACATATTCGGAAATGTAGACACTCAATAGGGATTAGTGGATCAGGAATATTAAAAATCAGGAGAAAAATATATCTGATCAAACTTTTCTAAAACAGATAACTTGACCAAAAGTGCCTCTTCGAACTCTTTTCTTTTTGAAAAAATTAAAATTGTTATCTCCCCACCCCACTAAAAAGTTTGACCAATTTACAATTTCTAGAATGTAAGAACCACCCTTATTCTTTCCCACTGGGTTCCTGCCTAACCCTCTTCCAGCCTCCAAAACCAATCAACACTTGTGGGTTTTGCTGAGGCTAGGGTTCTTCCTGCCATGATGCTCCTGGCAGTAATATATGTGGCACAAGAACTTGCTGCCAGCAGATCTTTTAAATCCATTGTTAGAATGTTGGTCAAGATGGTCCCAGAAACCTACATCCATTCTGTTCTTTTTGAATCTAAGATTACTGAAAATTGAGTTAATGGTGTGGATGTTCTGATCCAATACCTCTTAAGTCCTGTCCAATGGGCAGCCGATCATCATGACTGAGCTTCAGTGACTCAAGCAAACATACTGATGATGCGTAAAGAGACCCATTTCTCACCCTCCCCTTACCATCTGTCAGAAGCGAGCATTTTCGTGAGCCCTATGCCTAGCAGGAAGTCCGTGTGAACTCAGGCTGGAGCAGCAGCAGAGAGGCAGAGACCTGACTTTACATTCTGTAGAAAACCCTATGGCATAAAGCATTCTCCATGGAAAACAGACTGGTGAAGGAAATCTAACTATTCGTGCCGTGAACTGCTGTCTTATGCTTAGCGTGTACATATGCTTCTTCACACTTTAGAAGTGGGGCATAATATTGTCTGCATTACAATTAATGTTAAGCCAGGATCCTTTAAAGAGCAAATGAGAGCGCCCCCAAACTACCCCATGATTTAGCATTCTAAGTGCTGCCATTCTAAGCCTACTGAATTTAGTAGGATATATCTTTTGGAATAAGCATGTTTTGAATCAGGCTTCTGGGTGGCTAATAATTTCTCACATTTATATCTCATCAGATGTCCAGGCATCCAATACTAGCATTTTCTATCCTAACAACCCAGGGAAATAGGTTGAGCTGGGGAGGAGGGGTCGGTGGCACATAGCCTCAAGAGTAATATGGATTATAATCACCTGGCTTCTTTCACTCAGTTCCAACACTAATCAGACCCACTGGCCTTGTCCTACATGAGTTGCCACAACATAGGCAGCATGCCCATTTAGCTCTTGAGAAAACGTTCACTTTATATACAAAGTATGCAGTGGAAAAGCCATCACAAGAGCAATGACAGGAAATGTTTCAGTTGCATGGAAGCTCCTATTTCTTTTCAAATAACATTTTTATTTTTATTTATTTATTATTAAATTTATATGCCACCCATCTCCCCCAGAGAGTGACTCTGGTCAGCTTACAATTAAAAACCGACAATAAAAACAATAAAAATATAAATACCCCCCAATTAAAAGACAAATAACAAATCTATAAAAGCAATATACAAATCAAGAAGATGAGGGAAGCAGTATCAATCATCCCATGAGCCAGTTCCAGCAATGTGTGCCCCCATCAGGCCCCCAGGCCATCCGGCATAGCCATGGTTTTACATCGTTTCGGAAGGCCAGGAGAGTAGGGGCAGCCTGCACCTCAGCTGGCAAGCAGAAGCCCTTCAGAACTCCTGATGAACATGGATGGAAGCTATCATGTGTGGTCCACCTCTATCTTATTGCTGTTTATTTATGTCCTTCAGACATAACATCTGAAATACTCTTTTTCATTGTAGTACTCTAGAATACGTGGCAGCTACAGAATTGGCATAAATGCTGAACAATTTAAGGACAAGATTACTGAAATCTAACCCAAGAGGAACCATAGCTTCCACAGTGATTGTCTCAGCATGCCCTCCAAGCCTTTTGGATTAACATTTCTCATCAGCCATTGTATTACTTCTTGCAAGAAAGTTGTGTATGAGAAGTGATGGTGGTGCTTGGGAATAACTCGGAATAATGGTATGAAAAGAGAGCTCTCTAAGTGATTCAACCTTTCTGCTTATGATAGAAATCTTCTGGTAAGAAAGCTGTATCTCATATTAGTATTTACCCCAGGAGTATCTGGTAGGCTGCACTCCAGAGTAGTCTTCTCCCTTAAGAGCAGGGGGCATGTAGCTTAAATAATTCAAAGATGAGCAGCTATTATAGAAGAGACCTGCAAAGGATACCATGGAAACATGCAAATTAATATGCTTTATGAGTCATGGGAATCACTGTCTTGTGGAGTCAAGACATGGCCTTTTGAGGTCAGGGGAACACAATGTTCAGTATTATACTGTTCTTACAGTAGTGTAGGACTTTGTAGCTTCTATGGTAACCATGAATCTATCCCAAAATGCCTTCAAGCACAATTGTACTTTCTCTGAAAGGAGCAGTGCAGTTCTTATAAGTCTCTAGCTTATTATCCCCCATCACCTGTCACTCTCTGGTGGGACATTTGGGCTGTGAGCAGGGCCAGTTGTACCACTAGGCAAAGTGTGGCAGTCACACTCGGTTACTGAGAGGTAGTAGCAAGGAGAAGACTGTGTGTGTCAGGCAACGTGGTTGGTTCTTGGGCCCTACCAGCAAAATGCTTTGACATGGCCCTGGAGCTTTGGAATTTAACCCTGAGGTCAGGCTTTATCTCTACCATAGTTTTTGGACAGCACAACAAAGGAGAGTTGGAAACAAAAGTCTTTACTGGCACAGAACTTATAACAAGCCATGAAGCCATGCTTTCTCTCATTCTAGACCTCGTCATTTTTAATGGAACATTTCCCAGAATGTTGAAGGCATATATGGAGTACTAATCCTGTAAAACAGTCTTCTGCAGCCTAATGCCTTCCATATGATAACTCCCAATAATTCCTGGTAATTCCCAGCCAGGATATGGAAGAGGAATGTCAGGTTAAAGAAACAATGTGACATGTGACACCTTCTTAGTAAGTAGATTAAGTCTAACTCTTATCAGCTCTTTTACTTGAGAGTATGTGTCTTCATTGGCTGAAAACTTGTATTTATCCATTGTAATTCCAATACAATTTGCCTTGAATTCAGTGATGTTTCAAGAGGTTTTAATTTAAAAAAAAAATTAAATAGGATTTTAAACATTTTGTTCTAAGTAACTTGATATATTATCTCTGACATTGTCAAATGCAAGGTGCATAGTCTTTTAGGAATACAGGTAGTCCCTGGGTTAAGAAGGACACATAGTTAAGAATGGAGCATATTGTAGCAAAATTCAAGTTAAATACACAATGATTCGAGTTAAACACACAATGGCTTGAGTTAATTACACAATACTACTTACAGAGCATTATACAATAATACTGGGACCTGCGTTGCAAGCAGCTAGAGGAGGACTGCATGAAGGGTCACACCAGGAATGCACTTGTGTAAGTCAAAATGATTTGAACACCATTTACTGCTCATAAAAGCATCATCAAAAAC